TTGCGCTCGTCTGTTGCGCTCGTCTGTTGCGCTCGTCTGTTGCGCTCGTCTGTTGCGCTCGTCTGTTGCGCTCGTCTGTTGCGCTCGTCTGTTGCGCTTCTGTTGCGCTCGTCTGTTGCGCTCGTCTGTTGCGCTCGTCTGTTGCGCTCGTCTGTTGCGCTCGTCTGTTGCGCTCGTCTGTTGCGCGCTCAGGCGCCCAGTGCGTGCCAGTGCTGCGGTCCAACCCCCTCCTCCATTCCTCCCACACACGCCTCGAACTACTGCATGAGGAATCTCTATCCCTTCCTCCCTCTCAGACTTCGTCCCCCTCTGGCACTCAAGCTGGCTTCAGGAGTGCGCTCAGGTGGCCAGTGTGTGTGGCCTGGAGCCCATTGCATATGACTTGTTAATTCTCAGCACGCCCTCTTTCCTCCTCCCCCACTCACCTCAAACTGCAGGTGGTGGAGTCTCTATCAGAGTTCCTCCCATCTCGTGATCTTTGAGTCGACTAAAGAATCTTTCCTCCTCCCCACACACCCTCAAACTTCAGGTGGTGGATACTCTCTCAGAGTTCACCCCTCTCGACCTCAAGCCGGCTCTGGAGTGCACGCAGGTGGCTAGTGCGTGCACACATTGTCCGCGCCTTGGCGCGTTCTCTCTCCTCCTCCCCACACCCCCTAACACGCCTGGACGTGGAGTCCCGACCAGTAGGCGGCCACCGACAGTAGGATCACTGACAGCACAACCACCGACAGCACGACAACCGACAGCAGGCACGCCTGAGGCATGAACATTCAACAGAGAGGGCTCACCTTCCGAAACATGGAAGAAATGTGAGGACGGACACTTTCCGATGACGTGGTTAATTGTGGCTTGGATAGCAATGCTCCAGATTATTGCGTGGATTGGCATTGGGCCGCTGCATGTGCCACTCAATCTCCGCAATCATTTGGAGCAATGCCATCCCGACCACGTTTAGCCATGTCATGGGAGCGTGTCCATTCTCATAATTGTTCCGTTTTTCCGAATACGAGAGTGGCCGTCGTCCCTCCCATGGCCCTCTCAAGCTGGCCCTAGGGTGCGCTCTGATGGCCAGTGCGTGTGACATGGAGCCCATCGCATATGACTTGTTGTCAGCACACTCAGTTCCCTTCTTCCCCCCCCCCCCACCCCCTCCCCACACGCACACCCGAGGTGGTGGAGTCCCTGTCCGAGTTTGTGCCTCCTCTCGCCCCTCAAGCTGGCCCTGGGCTGCGCTCAGATGGCCAGTGCATGTGGCCTGGATCCCATTGCATAAGACTTCTTGCCAGCACACTCAGTTCCCTACTCCCCACAACCCCCTTCCCCCCCCACCACACACAATTGCCAGGTGGTGGAGTCTCTCTCCGAGTTTGTGCCTCCTCTGGCCCTCAAGCTGGCTCTAGAGTGCGCTCAGGTGGCCAGTGCGTGTGGACTGGAGCCCATCGCCTATGACCTCTCACCCTCGCGTTTGTCATCTATGAGGAGGAGATCTCGGTGAGCATTGGGTACCAGTGCATGTGAGCATGGGTGCCAGTGCATGTGAGCAGTGGGTGCCAGTGCATGTGAGCATTAGATGCTGCTTGCTTTTGAGGCGCCTCAAAATCATCTATGAAGAGGAGATTTCGGTGAGCATTTGATGCGATTTGCCGCATGTGTGTTGAATTGTATGTTGCATGTATGTTTTGCATCGCTCTCTGTGCGGTGCGGCCTGGAGCCCTTTGCCTATGATGTGTTCACCCTTGTGTATGAGAACTTCAAGGAGGAGATTTTTGTAAGTATTGGATGTTATTTTTTTTCTGATATGTCTGCCTTGCTGAGTTCTGCATGGCATGGGATGCATGGCATGGGCGCCATGGCATGGGCTTCATGGCATGGGCTTCATGGCATGGGCTTCATGGCATGGGCTTCATGGCATGGATGCATGGCATGGGATGCATGGCATGGGCGCCATGGCATGGGCTTCATGGCATGGGCTTCATGGCATGGGATGCATGCTGCATGCACCCTTCTCCATTCACCCTCGTTCTCTCTCTTTCCCTCTTCAGGTCAAAGCTTTCCATCTATCTCCTCTCGTCTTGCCATCCCCTCCCCTCCCCTCCCCTCTCCTCTCTCCCCTCCTCTTCCCTCCCAGGACTCCAAGGCGCAGGTGACTGCGCTGCACTTGATCATAGGAACGCTGCAGCGCTGCCACGTCTTCTCAGAAGAGAACAGAGACACGCTCACACACAAGGCCACAGGGGTACGGTTGCCAGCAGATAGGGTTACCAGGTGGGGTTGCCAGGTGAATTTACCAGACAGTAAGGCGCAAGGTGACTGCATGCACGTCACCTCATCATATGAACGCTGCAGCACTGCCCACGCCTTTTCAGAGGAGAAGCGAGACACGCTCCCACACAAGGCCACAGGGGTATGGTTGCCAGCTGTCTATTAGGGTTACCAGGTAACGTGCATGTGATGGCGCTGCCATGTCTTTCCAGAGGGGAAGCTAGACACACTCCCACACAAGGCCACAGGGGTATGGTTGCCAGCTATGGGTGTCTAATAGGGTTACCAGGTAACGTGCATGTGATGGCGCTGCCACGTCTTTCCAGAGAAGAAGCGAGACTCGCTCCCACACAAGGGTACAGGGGTTCGGTTGCCACTTAAGTTACCAGCTTGCTTTTCCTCTTGCGGCTATTGATGCACCTTTTTGAACGATTGTATGGCCATTGCGTACTTTTGAGGCGCCTCAAAAGTCGTCTTTTTGAACGACTGTATGGCCTCAAAAAAGTACATTTTCCCCACTTGCTCCTACAGTATTCCACCAAGCTGCTCAAGAAAGAAGACCGGTGCCGCGCTGTTTGCGCCTGTGCAACGTTCCCAACCCCCCCCTCCACCCCTCCCTTTTTGCCCCACTTCTCTTTCCCCTTTCCCCCCAGTATTCTGCCAAGCTGCTAAAGAAAGCAGACCAGTGCCGCGCTGTATGCGCCTGTGCACACCTGTTCTGGAGCGACGAGGAGGATGGGCCCAGGGATGGCGAGAGGTAGGTCGTAACATGCACGTATATCCAGATATGTGAGGGGCAGAGGGCACTGTGAGTGAGCGTTTGAGCCAGCTCAATACAGAGGTAAGTCGTATCACGCATTGGTAGCCAGAGATGTGAGGGGCAGAGGGCTCTGTGAGTGACTCATGATAGAACACTGCTTGCAGCTTGCCCCTCTCCGATTCCCATCTTAAACACCTTGTTTTTTTGGGTCCAAACAATATCTTTCCTTCATTGCCTCATCCCGCATTCTAATCTAATCATTCATTTCGATGTTCCCTTGTCCGATCCATTCCTCCACTGTCAGGGTGGTTTTGTGCTTGAAACGGGCGCTCAAGATTGCCAACGCAGCGGCTCAGCAGCTCTCTGCCGCTGCTAGAGTGCCCGGTTCCCATGTCGTGCTGTTAGTGGAAATCCTCAACAAGTGAGTTCGTTTGTCTGTTCAAGCTCACATGTGTGCATGTGGACTGCCGTCTCATGTATGGCTCACTCCAATATGTGCCCCGCTCCCATGTGGTGCTGTGAGTGGAAATCCTTAACCAGTGAGTTGGTTTGTCTGTTCAAAGGTCACCTGTGTGTGGGTTGCCGTGCCATACATGGGGGACTCCATGTGTGTCTGGTTCCCACGCGATGCTGCTAGTGGAAGTCCTCAACAAGTGAGTCTCAAGTCCCCTGAAGTTCTATAAAGGCAGTTTTGACTGTCGCATGTGCGCTTGGCTCCAATGGGTGCGTGAATCTGTCTTCCTATGCGGTGCTGCTGCTGGAAATCCTTGACAGTGAGTCTCGCAGTTATCCCGTCACTATCACTAACTCAAACCCCCAACACCCCCCCACCAACACCCCCAACAAACCCCCCCCCCCCCCCCCCGCCCCGCCCCGCCCAACACCCCCATCCAGGTACCTATATTTCTTTGACAAGGGCAACCCCCACGTGAGCCCTGTGGTGCTCCAGGGGCTCATAGAGCTCAACAAGGCCATCAGCAAAGGGCCATGCGCACTCTGCCATTATTTGATCCCTCGCCACCTCCCCCCTCCCCCCCCACCCACCCATCCAGGTACCTGTACTTCTTTGACAAGGGCAACCCCACGTGACCCCTGTGGTGCTCCAGGGGCTCATAGAGCTCATCAACTCCGAGCTGGCCATGGACGGCGCTACAGTGGATGCTACAGTGCACGGTTTCTATCGTGCCACACTCGCGCATATCAGGGATCAGAAGCACAAGGCGGGTGCTGTAGGGGAGAAATACTCAGAGATCCAGATATGAGATGGTAGGAGTGCTACAGTGGATGCTACAGTGCACGGGTCCTATTCCGGCGCATCTTAGAGGTCAGGAGGAGCACAAACTAAGTAGGGGTTGGTATTCAAGAGATTCAAATATGATTGGATGTTTGTATTAAAAAAGGTATATGTCCTTATGTAAAAAAACCCTTCCTGTAGTGCTTTAGTTTGGCTCCAAAAGAGGTTCCTTTTTATTTGCTTGCACTATTGGGCAAGTTTGGAGCATGTAAGGGGAACATGTAAGGACATATTCCAGAGTGAGTGTCAGACCCGGGATTGACCTGCGGCCGAAGGAGCCGCGGGTTGTCACAACCTATTTGTGGGGTTTACATTCTTGATGGTGCATCGGCTGCACAGTCACGAACTGTCGCAAGGAGGGGTTGCGACTATACTGGCCGAACTTTGCGAGTCCACCAAAAATTTGCGAGTTTATGATTGGTCGAAGTTCATTTGCGCGACATTGTTAGTTGTTCGGTTTGACTGCTGACTGGCTGGAGCCGTCAGTTTTTCGCAAGACCCGAGGCAATTTTTTCCAGCCTCAGATCTTCCCGCAAAACCCTCAGGTCTTACACTCACTGCGGAATCGCCCTAAGGTACCAAGTTTTCAATTCATAGTTCCCCTGCGGAATTCTCTTTGCTCTACCCTTCCTCGAGCTGGTTTTTAGGCTCGAGTCGGTCGAACCTGCAGTTCATCTAAATTCTTTCTTAGGCAGGCTGGTCATTCCCAGTACGGTACACATTCGGAACTGTACTGACGAGTTTAAATTTTGATGATTGTCTCGCGTTCACGCGAAACCTTTCGGGTCTCACGGGCAGCTGCGCACAAAATGGAGCTAGTTCCTCCCTTCCTCCTCCCTTCCACCCCACCCCACGCCATACCCCACCGTGCAACCTGTATGTTTGGTGCTGTACTTTCCAATCGGAGAAATGCCTTCTTCTGTCCGGAGTGCACGAGGATACCAAAAGGTGTGATCCTCCCTTACCTCTCCCGTACCTCTCACGTGAGTCCGGCAGCAACCTTTCCTGTGACTCTGACCGGTTGTTGCGGCTCCAGCAAATCACGAATAGTCTTCCCTATTCGCCTCGAGCAAGGGAAGTTATAAATTACACGCCCTAGAGCTCAAATGTCATGACAATTTGAGCAACTTCTTCTCCCATACTATCAATCTCCATCGACGTCCCCCTCATCTGATTAGCTTTACCATACCAATCAGCGCACGGCTTGTGGTAGACTTTCCTTTCCAATTCTACTCGTGAGAGGCTTCCTGTATAATTCCTCACTACCCAATGAGTAAAAACGAGGTTACCAGAGGGGCGCAGCGGAATTGCACGTTCACATCTCACGTACGCCATTGACAGTTGGTGTCTTCGCTGGTTCTTCCAAGCCAGCGGTTACCAGGATCGTTCGTTGGGTTCGCCCCTGGTTACACATTCAAATTCTCGCCGAGGGCGGAAAATGTGACCAGCTGAGATTCGAACCCTAGGCTCTGATACCAGTATAATGCCTCGCTACCCACTGGGTCAAAACGAGGTTAGCAGAGAGGCGCAGCGGAACTGCACGTTCACATCTCAGGTGCGTTACATCCTAAACCCTATCGCAAATTCGTTCTCTAAGTCCAATTGCAACAGCTTTTCAATGGCCGCACCTAACTCGTGGCTACATGCAGCTCGCCAGCTGCTGCCTCTCGCCCTCCTCGTGCTCCTCGCCATCACCAGCGCCAGCGCAGCACGGCCCATGCTGCAGGCGTCGTCTTCCGCTGCAGCAGCCGGCGTCACCGGCGACATTCTCGGCTCCTCATCCGGATCGACCTTGGGATCTCCGCACAGGGTGGAGCGGAAGCTATTCAGCTGGGATGGGGTGACCACGGAGCAAGTCATGTCAGGGAACCTGGGATTCATTGACGGGCAGACCGACGAAGAAGTGACTCAGAAAATGATGGAGATTTTCATGAACGCGTGATGGTGATTCGGAATATCCAGGGCCGTTGGGAGGGCGAGCCGATGTGGGCCACCGTCGAGGTGGCCCACTTTTGGTTTAACTCGCCTTTTGTGGTGTATTACAAGCAGGGCTCGTTCAAGATCTGGAACTATGGCGATGGTGGGTTTGAGAATTGGGCCTTCGGGGGGAACTTTGGGAGGTATGTGGATAATGATGGGTTAGAGGTGGTGGAGTTTTATTGATGCAGGTTGGTGGAAAATCTGAGCTGTACAAGTGGATGTCTACTTGCGGCTGCACTGGCTCTTATCCAATAAATGTGGATGTTTAGGTGCTATGGGATGTTGCCTCCCACCCACCCACTGCCCTTCAGAACAAGCGCAGGTTGTTATGTTACACACTCCTACGCCCCTTTTCCAGCAGGGTGCACATAGTTGGTTGGAAGGTAGCAATGGGGGTCAGGTTGTTTGGCTGGGGCAATCAAGAGAGGCTCAGCTTGCAAAAGAGGTCTCCCCACACTCTGTGCTGCAATGCAACCTCCCAGATCTGCGTTATGCACTATTTTCTGGCGTTGCATTGCGCCAAGTGAAACACAACAGGGCATCCGGCTCTGAAATCTGTTGTTCCCTGGAGATTATCCACGTTCGATGACATGGGAGCTGGACCAGCCAATGCTATCAGCTTCTTGTGCGGCGCTCTCAGACTCTCCCTTGCCTCTCACTCACTCCCTTTTTTCACTCTCTCTCTTCCCTCCCTCTCGGCCTTGCCTCTCAACCGCTCCCTTGCCTCAGTCTAGAGTTTCCCCTCTCTCCCTCTTCCCCTTTTTTTCTTCCTTGCTTCACTCCTACTTGCCTCACTCTATCTTGCCTCACTCTTCCTTGCCTTTCAACCGCTCCCTTGCCTCTCAGTCTAGCGCTCTCCCTCTCTCTCTCTTCCACCTATTCCCCTCTTTGCCTCACTCATCCGTGCCTCACTCATCCGTGCCTCACTCATCCGTGCCTCACTCATCCGTGCCTCACTCATCCTTGCCTCACTCTTCCTTGCCTCTTAACCGCTCCCTTGCCTCTCATTCTAGCACTTCCCCTCTCTCTCTGTTCCCATTTTTATCTTCCTTGTTCCACACTCTCTCTTCCCTCTCACACTCTCCATTCCCCTCATTCTCCCTTGCCTCACACTCTCTCCCTTCATCACACTCTCACTATTGACGGCAGTGTTCGGTAAATAATCTCATTGCCAAAATTCTCAAGAGAGATTCGTATCTGTGCGTATGCTTCTGGCTCTACGTAGGTTTCCGCTTGTGATGGTGCCATGGCCTATCCATGGCTGGTGCGGTGTGTGTTTCAGATGGAGAAACCTTGCAAGTGTAGTGGTGATGCATAGGACCCTTGCTTGTGTGCTTTGTGTTCCTTTTTGGCTTGTATGCTTGTGTCTGTGTGCCTTGTGATTATAAAGGGCCTTGCTGTAGTGGTGTAGGGGAGTGTTCAAGGCCCTACTACAGCTGCGGGTGGCCAGGCGTTGAACGGCTTGTGTCGGTGCCAACCGTTAGGTGACGGCACGCCAAATGCCTGGCAGCTGCGGGTTGCCATAACCAAGAGACTCGGACTGGTCCTAGCAACCTAAGAATTGTCTAGGCTATGTTTGACTAGTTCAGAGATGTGTACGACGACATGCGACTCTGACGAGTCTTGGGTGGTCACAACCAGCGCAAGGGACTTCCGTGCAGAGCAAGGCGGATTTGCCTTGCTGGTTGGGGTTGCGTACACGGCAATCCCAACCTTGCTGAGTTGGGATTGGGGACTTGGGAGAGGCGTGTTCGCTCAACCCTTCGGCAATTTCGGGGTGGTTGGTTACACCCGCAGCGCCACGCAACTCTGGTTGGATATCACTTGCGTATATATTTGCTTGCTTGCTTGCTTGTACTTCATATATACTTTTCTAGTGAACTTCTACTGTACTCGAATTTCGACCAAGTACTTGAATTCAACTCTGCCCAAATACCACCAGTGCGTAGCACGCTGTTTCTATACCGCTACTCTGCCAGAATCTCTCCACACTTAACAAGCGCTCTCGCCTTAGTATTCCTTCATGGTGCTGTGAGCGTGGATCGAACACGCGAGTATCTATTTTCACCGTCGCTAATCTACTACGTTCGTTCGTCTTGGAGGCTGCAGCTATAGCCGAGGACTATCATTGGTGTAAGTTGCAATTTATTTAAATTCCCTCCAGTTACGTTCTCGGACCCAAGGTTAGGGTGTTTGGTATGCACTTACCATTCTCTTGAGGACCCTTGTGAGGTGATCTCGAGACGAGGGATTTAAGTGAATAGCAATTTGTGCTAGCTGATAGTTGGTCTGTAGAGGAGCCGCAATAATGGCGAACGTGGAGGAGGCGAACGTTGACGTCAATGAACTGCACGATCTAGAGGCGATTCTTCACACGCGTTGTTCTCGCGGCGAGCTTGCCAATGAGGATTATGAGCTCATGCTGGAAGGGATTCGAGCGAGGTGGCGTTGTGACCACCCTTCTCCTCCTGAAGCACAGAACACACAAGCTGGAATTTTGCAAAGTGCGTGGGCGACGTCTAGCGACGACGACGATAGAGCTAGTGTGGCGAGCGAGAGGCGTTTCGCTTGTGGCGTTCTCAGAGGATATGTACACGGTAGCACTCCTAGTATGGGTGGCGTTCAGGAGCGTGTGCATGAAGTGGCAGCATTGCGTGAGCGCGACGAGATAGGGCGGTGAAGAGCTGCTGGAGATAGACAAGTAGAGGAGCGCGATAGCGACGATATGCCTGGCAAAATACCGCAAAGCTTTGCGGCGAGAGACGTTGGGATAGCGCCTGACTACGGCTACTTTAAATTCACTCCATACACGATCGACGTGCCTAGGCCGTTAGAAGGGTGTCACGACCTGTCATCTTGGGTAGAATCAATTGAGCCTCAGCTCGAGATAGCTCAGCTCAAACGCTTTATCCACGGCTCCACCCCTACTCCTCCAACGCACGTAGCAGCACTTCTCATGCAATTTTGAGCTGCGCAGTTACTAACGTATACAAGTCGCTCTTAAAGCGTGTCGCTTGAAAGTAGATGCCGGGTTGCAGGCTTGGCAGTTCATCATGCGAACGTACATGGCAAAAGATGACTTGTATATAGGTCAGTTAGAGCAGGCGCTCACTAACCTCGAGATGGGAGAGCATGAGTCCGCCACGTCGTACTGCAACCGTG